ATTCCAAATAGAGTTTTGCATAATTACTGACTTCCTGGGTATTATTCATCGGCATATTTTTATTTAAAACGACGTTTCGGAGACTGGAGATACGGACTAGCTCCATCTATGGGGCCCAACAGAGTAAGGTCTACCTGAAGACGGAGACAGAATCCTGTCTCCGAAACGTTGTGTTCTGAAAAATAAATGGGACGGTTTTTAGATACAGAGAAGACGATGGATAGTGTCCAAACACATAATACTCGTGCCAATGTACCAGCGTCACAAACACTTAGAGCTTAGTCTCTGTATTACCACCAATGCTTTGAACTGAGTTGAAATTTTCCCTGCGTTTAATTAATAAAGCACCCACTTTCAAGAAATATATCTGATTTTCCACCGCGTGATATTAAGTCCGTCAAATCGAGGGCCATTAACATATGCAACTGGTGACTTCCACACGCACCTGTTGCAGAATCGACAGAGTCGCCAATTTAAATCATCGATTCGCCCTTACTGTATTACGAACTTCGTCGCAGGACATTACCATAGTAACCGCCGTCCCGGCCTGACCTACCACAACTTCCCTTCACGGCTGGGTCATGTCACAGTTCACTGAGCTCAGCGTGACCCACATAGACACACCGACCAGTACTTCATGCGCACGGCCGCGTATTTAAGCAAAGAGCACCGAACACCTCAAAGAAGTTGAAGAGTTCTATCTTCCGGTACACTTAGTACAGTATGGGGCACGGCAGTCGGAATTCCCAAATCCGGAAGCACCCGATATCTGAAAAGCTCCTCCTAGCTCATGTTCATGAAAACAACTTCGCAAGTCAAGGTTAAAAAGATTAAAGAATGTTCTGTTAACAAACTTGATAAGTAGTTCTTTAACTTCAAGCATTTTGTTTACGTAAATCGAACGTTAACAAAATGTTGATAACGGCTTACTTTGCGTGCGTCATACTTTTTTGGTTAAAGACCCAAAACCGGGAAAGCACTTTGTCCCAGTTTTCTGAATAATGGGTCCCATACTTCTCTTTCGAATCCTGGTTTTCCTCCAAGAATCGAAAATTGGGGGGGGGGTAGATGTGGTATCCTTTCCTCTCCGGCGCCCCTGTCTGCAACTCCATCTGGAATCTACCCAGATACTATGTTTTTTCTTTTTTCTTGACACTACAGCCCCAGTGGGCCCAGGCCTACCTCCATGAACTTCTCCGTTCACTTCGGTTTTTCTAAATTTTACACATTCGGTAGGACTCCTTGGGAGGGTGATCAGCTCGTCGCAAGGCCTCTACCTGCACATAAACACAGAAAAACGCACACACACAAAGTAAACATCAATGCCCTGAGTGAGATTCGAACCAACGATCCCGGTTTCCAAGCGAGCGAAGACAGTACATGCCTTAGACCGCTCGGCTACCGTGACCGGCCCAGACACTATGTACTGACACCAAGAAGAGAACTGAAATCTGAAATGTAGATTCCTAGAATCACATTGTCAAGCGGACAGAGGCTACAATACTTGGAGGCATAAGCAACAGGTTAGCTCAGTCTGATTCATATTCCGGACGTTTAGGTCACCGGAAAGGTCGTTGCACTTTGTGGTTTCCTTACACCTTCAATATGAATTCAAGAAGCCAGGCCCGTCTCTTTTCTTTCGACATTTAATAACCACTCCAGTTGATACAGCTTTATTCTACCTAGTACTACTGAGGTACCAACAGATTAAACTCCATCTGAAACGCATGTGCCAACTGGAAACACCTCACAAAATCAGAAATTCTCCTAAAACAAGATAAAGCTATCCCTGTAACAGGCCGTACAGGCCCTTAGGGCAGTGATACGTTGAGCTCTCACATTTCTAAACAATCGGCTCTCAGATTTACCTTTAGCCACAGGAAGATTTGTGATATTCACTTCTGTTAGAGGCTGTGTCGACCCCAGGGCCATAGTGCAGCCGGAAGGATTAGGTCAACTGAAAAAACCTAGTGACCTCATCGGGAATCGAACCCGCAAACTTCCGGCCTGTATCATAGTGTCTCAACCAACTACGCTACGCGTGGGCCCCCTACGGGAAACCTGTACACTGCTGTATTTCATTTATGGTTCATTTAACAAGGCTGTCAGTAACTCCGACTAAAAAGCGTCGAATGGTAGGATAATTATCGAATAATGAATTGCAAAGGATGCAGAAGGGAGCGTTCATGGCCCGAGCGGGGTACTACTATAACATCTGCCTGAAGAGAATGAGAAAAACCACGAAAATCCTCAGTCATGAGATTCGAAGTAGGCTCCTCACTGCTACAAGACAGCAGGATTACCGGTTGAGCCAACTTTCTCGGTGAAAACCGGATTAGATGTATCGAGCAGCGGAGCGGCTAAGAATGAGGTTATGTCCAACTAACGTGTAATTTACTGAAGGTTATTACTCAGAGGTTCCGTCGGTACAACCAGTCTCTTAATGAAAAATAATCATAACTATCAACAGGTTTCGGCCCGCTTATCTCCATGTTCAAGGGTGTCCGAATACAAAAGAAAGTTCACAACAGTTTCGCATAAAATATGCTTAACATGCGTGCCTAATGCATTACTGACATTTGAAATCGGAAAAAGGCAAGATTGCGACTATGAATGAAAGCAAATCTGTCCATACCTTATGTACGCAGTTCTTGGTAGTATCTGTTTAATCTTTAAAGTGGCACTGTGATGACTTATCAATTGAAAGACTTGTTGCACTATTTCGTACCCCCACAAAAATGACGAACTTCAATGCCCCACTTTGAGTTTTATATTCCGGTTATTACTATTATTAGCCTTGTTCAACGTCTGCTCCTCATGCAAAAACTGTCCCTCTGTTAGATGTGCCTCAGCTGCTAATGTTTGCAGGGACGTTGACGTATTCGGAGCCAGGAACGTTCTTCTCAGTTGTCTTTTATAATGTGATATAATTGTTATTATTATTATCTACACAAACATAAACTAGAATTGAATTATTATTATTATTATTATTTCTAAATATCTATACTTTACATTTCTCAATTGTCAATG